GCTGTGAATGTACCATATATTTTTTCAATGAACTGATCTGAATTCTATCCTATTTATTTCAGTCTGGGCGATCGGCTCATTGTAGGGTTGAACAGTGATGCCAGCGTCACGCGGATAAAACGAAAGCCAATCAACAACCAGGAAAGGAGAAAAATGTTGCTGGAGGCTTTCTCTTGTGTTGACGAAGTTATCATCTTCGACGAGGATTCGCCACGGAATCTCATACTGAAGCTCAAGCCAGACATCCTCGTAAAGGGAGGGGACTACGAGTTAGAAGATTTGAGAAGTAGGCATCTGGTGAAAAAGGCGGTGATTATTCCAAGTTACTGCGAGGTCACGACATCAAGGATCATGAAGGAATGTCAAAAGCGTCTGATCGAATCTGACTGCAAGAAGAAAGTACTACCAGAAGCATACACCGAGGCATTAGGGAGTACGGACTGGACATGTACGCCAAGCAAAGATGCAGAGACATGCTTAGTCTGTGACCAGACAGACCGCACAAGTCAGCAAATAGTACAAAAGAAGTGGGGTTTTGAGAATATTTTCGTTTCTAATGCTTCTTATGCGGGAAAATTTCTGCATTTTGATATTGCAGGTAGTAAATTCTCGATGCATTTTCATGCTGTGAAAACAGAAACTTGGTACGTCTTGAGAGGTTCCTTTCATTTGGTCCTAGATGTGTATAAGAGACAGTGATCTCAGATTATAACAAAGGTATGATTCATTCGCCGCAGAAACTGATCAGGAATGCCAAGTGCCCGGTGTTGGTGGACCCAAAAGGGGACGATTGGTCAAAATATGCGGGAGCATACTGCCTGAAGCCGAACCTCAAAGAGTTCGAGAAAGTCTGCGGAAGATTCACAGTTAAAAACGCGAGAAAAGCTTTAAAAACGTACAAAATTGAGGCAATCCTTGTAACATTGGGTCAAAATGGTTTTACGTGGGTGACGCTTGATAATAAAATTCATATCGGACCTACTGCGAAGAAGGTTGTCGATGTCACAGGTGCGGGCGACACATTCATATCCATATTCGCGTGCTACTTGAACGAATCTGATGTCAGGGAAACTGTAACAATTGCGAATACGGCAGCAGGCATCGCTGTGGAACACTTCGGGACTTACGTAGTGACTAAACGAGATATTTGGGGTCAAATCCAGCATGATGGGTTAGCAGGCACACCAAATGAAGTGCAGCCCGTGATTCCGTACAACCATAGCATTGGCACTACGCACGATATACTCCCAGTACATAAAGTTACCCCAATGCAGAAATGTCAAGAAAAGGTTAGCCCTGAGGAGCAAGAAGAACAGTCATGTAGAAGAGGTCAAGCCACGAAGGAGAAATCATTTGAATCTGGGTGGAAGTCTACTAATGGCGTAGAACCCATGACAAACGCATCTGATCAATCCATAATGACTCATCAAAGTAAGAAGAAAGAGGTGGTTGTATTCACCAATGGATGTTTTGATATCGTTCATGTCACCCATGTCAATCTTCTACAGAAGGCAAAAAGGTGAGCAGTCAAGGTTTTTCCCCATTCCCTCTCGTGGGAGACTTGAAATTTTAATCATTCGTCCATCCCTGTCGCTCTCGAAGTTAGGCAAAGATCTCTTCGTCTTTCTGCGGGAAATAATACATCCGGGTATGTGCAGGGGGGGGGAGGTCGGGAAGGTTGTACGACCCCCCCCCCCAATTTTCAGAGGTCCACATTTTTTTCAAAGGCATTTTATTTCTAGGGCCTTTCACAATCACATAAATGAAAAAGCATTGATGAGGTACCAGCAATGAGTCCAAAGACCTTGTCAATTGCGTTACGTAATTTATCTCCATTCCAGCAATATGCTTTACACCAAGGAATGAACGTCCTCAGTCTGTGTGTCAATTCAGCAGCAATTTATATTTTTTTTCTTTTTTAAAATGTATTGACATTTTAATCACATCTTGCTGTTATTTCATTGTGAAAAAGGTCCAAAAAACTATGATCACGACCCACCCAGAAAAAATCCTGGATACACCCCTAGGTAATTAATTGGAGAATTATCTATCTACAGGGTGGCCCAATAAAAGTGTCTTAGTAAGGCAACTGGGTACCAGGTTCTTTAATGATAGTTCCTACTTCGAAACAGGTCCCCCGGTGCCTTACTTTTATTGGGCCATTCTGTGGAGGGGGTTGAAGTCTCATCCGCACCTTTTTGGATGAAAATCTATTCATTTCAATATTTCGCACAAAATCACCTCTTTTTTTAACATACACATGTAATTATTTTTATTATTCACACGATTTTACAAGTACATGTAATGAAATATTAGTGATTTGACAGACGGCAAGTGCCTATGTATCACGTCTCTCTCTGTTGCAGAAATAGGGTTCGTGAAAACTCACAAAGTATTGATCAATGAATTACATGGAGTAAAAAGATAATGATAATTATATATAGAGCATCAAATCTAGCTCTGAACTGATGATGTGATAAAATCGACTCCCATACTGCTACCTTTCATGGTCTAAAAACTTATTCACGGACACCGTTTTGTCGTACTCTTGAATTGACATTGGCCCACAAGCACACTGCGCATTTGCAACGCTGCTCGGAATAAAAGCAGTGGGGGTGTCTTTGACATGAACGCCTTACAAATATCTGACTGGCTCTGGCAAAATCAGGCATAATGCACCAAAAATAAAAATTGAGTTAGGCCTATTATAATATTTTGATTATCTTTTCCATAAGCTTCAAAATGATGTATGGATTGTTTCTATATATAGCTAAACAAAACTGACGATTTTATGACCATCGGAAGTTTGCAATCGTAATGCATTTTCTATTACATCCTATAACTTTAAAGTGCATGATCTTTAAACGTTGATGTGCCTGGTTTTGCCAGATCCAGTCGCATATGCTACCGATGCATATTCTAATACTGTAGTCTTTTTCGACCTCTTTTCTGTACATCTATAGGTAGGCCTACTCGCTATGGTCGAAAATGTCATACACTTCTAAGATTGATTCTATATACCCTAAACGAAACACCGTATATTTCCCATTCAACACATGACTTCCGACCGACCATAATATTTACTACTGGAATTGAATTTTAAGAAATTATTTTCGAAAAGACCCGACGATTAAACTGTTCGTGACACTTCGCGGTAAATAACACAATGTATAGCCTGTTAAATCATGCGTGTAAAAGCTAGTCTGGGTTTGACAGGGTGCCTTCTTTGCTCGGGTTCATCGTCAGTGCCAACAGACTGTAGAATTTTCTGATCCGAAACAGAAAATAATTTAAAAAAAAAGGAATAAAAGAGCCTCCCTTCCTACCATACGCACGCATATTCGGGCCAATAGCGCAAAACCTGTAGCATGATGAAAAAATCTCGAAAATAATATCTCTGTTGATGAAATATTTTGCAATATATCGCTGTCGACTGTTTGTAGTTTTTGAATAGCCAAAAGTTGTTATATCATAGAATAAAATGTACACAAAAATGTACTGCAGAATTATGGACTGAAATCAAACACGGTTCGGGCGGGACATTGGTACGTTTGATAGTGCATGGAGGTATAAAGGTATAGTGTTACCTCTAAATGGAACTTGGTTTCCTGATTTCCTTTTCCGAAAGGTCTCAGAAGACCCTATTACTAAGGGCATAGCACTTCTTCATTGCAACCTTCATAATTGAGAAAAAGCGTTTCGGGTAGGACATGATTTGGTCAGACAACAGACAGATCTCTGTGTATGATTAGATGTGGGGAGGTAGAACATCATTTTTTCCCCAAACATGTTCATTTTTCATTTATATGAGAGGGTTGAATATACGAGATATATGAAGAAGCACAAAATGAGACGTAAAATAACATGAAATGCGTGGGATCCCTATAGAAAAAAAAAAGGTTTTTGGAACGTGCATATAAACAACCTCCACAAAGTTGAGAAAAAATGATGTCAAATACGGTGGTCAGTATGAATATACAGTGCCTGGCACATTACCTCCTCAATCTTTTTAATTATATGAATATTCCTGACAAAAAACACTCACATTGAAGTACAAGACTAGGACTGAAACATGTCCCACCCGAAACGTTTTGGGCTATATTCATGATCCCAACACAAAAATTATGAGTGCAAACGAAGTGCTGCATTGTTGTTCTAAAGAAAACTATACAGATCATTACATATCAAATTGTTGTTTAAAGAAAACTATTCAGGTCATAATATAACAAATTGTGATAGCGATAGGAAAGCCTCAAATCGTCATAACGAGTTAGCCTATTGTGCGGAACATGTGATGGTACAAAGTAACACATTTTGCGCTTTTGGAACTATGATAATCTGGCATGTAGGCCGAAGAATTCCAGCTCGGTATCAGCGGTATCCACTACATGATTACATTCGTTTTTACCTGGCACAGAAGGATGATATATTCATTCCATTAATATAAGCAGCAGGGCCGCTGAGTGCGGCCTTAGGCCCCGGAGCAGCTTTGCTGCCCCGGCCCATTAGTTGAGAGTCTGGGTATTAGTTAAGAGTCTGAGTATTACTCCATGGTATTACATTATGTTAGCTACCTTGTTCTAGATTCGCAGTCGCACCTTCGGCGCCCCATACACCACGACAGAAATGCAACGAAACTAGCGGGACCGAAATGATCGGATACCGAAAATATTCGCCTGTAATGTCTTGTGTGTTGCCCGCTTGCTGTTCGAACAACCTTATTTGCATATCAATGAACTTACATAACATCACAAACTAGAGAACAAGAATCCAGTCGCGATTCCAATCTCCTTGTTGCTCAGTCATAACCTAATAAATAGTGAGTCAAATTTGGACTTTCCAACTATCAAGTCGTTTGGCACTGCTTGTCATTTCCCTATATTCACAGGCCACATTTACAGCATGATGGCACAGTCAAAACCTATGAAAGTACTAGTCATAGGGGATTTTATGTAGGCCCTACGATAAATATCACTATGGAAAAACTACGAAAATTAGTTGCGAGGCGTTTCTGCCGGTTTTCGGAAAGGAGCACTTGGATATCCGCTTGGGAGGCGCAGGAAATGTGGCCCTAACCTGTCACCATCATGCTGAAGTTACCCTCGTTACTGCTTTTCTGGAAAACGACTGTCCAACAGTTCCGTTCAAACTTGTGAATCTTCCTGGGAAAACAGTGACAACTGTGAAAGAAAGGTTCATCATAGGAGAAAAGCACGTTTTTCGCAGTGATCAGGAGAAATATGAACCGATTAACATTGATGATGTGAACACAGACGGGTATGATGTTATTTTGATCTCAGATTATAACAAAGGTGTGATTCATTCGCCGCAGAAACTGATCAGGAATGCCAAGTGCCCGGTGTTGGTGGACCCAAAAGGGGACGATTGGCCGAAATATGCAGGAGCATACTGCCTGAAGCCGAACCTCAAAGAGTTCGAGAAAGTTTGCGGAAGATTCACCGTTGAAAACGCGAGAACAGCTTTAAAAACGTACAAAATTGAGGCAATCCTTGTAACATTGGGTCAAAATGGTGTTACATGGGTGACGCTTGATATTGAAATCCATATAGGAGCTACTGCGGAGAAAGTTGTCGATGTCACAGGTGCGGGCGACACATTCATATCCATATTCGCGTGCTACTTGAACGAATCAGATGTCGGGGACACGGTAAAAATTGCGAATACGGCAGCAGGCATCGCCGTGGGACACTTCGGAACTTACGTAGTGACTAAACGAGATATTTGGGGTCAAATCCAACATGATGTGTTAGCAGGCACACCAAATGAAGTGCATCCCGTGATTCCGTACAACCATAGCATTGGCACTACGCACGATATACTCCCAGTACATAAAGTTACCCCAATGCAGAAATGTCAAGAAAAGGTTAGCCCTGAGGAGCAAGAAGAACAGTCATGTAGAAGAGGTCAAGCCACGAAGGAGAAGTCATTTGAATCTGGGTGGAAGTCTACTAATGGCGTAGAACCCATGACAAACGCATCTGATCAGTCCATAATGACTCATCAAAGTAAGAAGAAAGAGGTGGTTGTATTCACCAATGGATGTTTTGATATCGTTCATGTCACCCATGTCAATCTTCTGCAGAAGGCAAAAAGGTGAGCGGTCAAGGTTTTTCCCCATTTCCTCTCGTGGGAAACTTGATATCTTATTCATTCGTCCATCCCTGTGGCTCTCGAAGTTAGGCAAAGATATCTTCGTCTCTCTGCGGGAAATAATACATCTGGGTATATGCAAAGGGGAGGGGGTCGGGAAGGACGTACGACCCCCCCCCCCCCATTTTCAGAGGTCCACATTTTTTTCAAAGGCATTTTATTTCTAGGGCTTTTTCACAATCACATAAATGAAAAAGCATTGATGAGGTACCAGCAATGAGTCCAAAGACCTTGTCAATTGCGTTACGTAATTTATCTCCATTCCAGCAATATGCTGTACACCAAGGAATGAACGTCTTCAGTCTGTGTGTCAATTCGGCAGCAATTTATATATTTTTTCTTTTTTAAAATGTATTGACATTTTAATCACATCTTGCTGTTATTTCATTGTGAAAAAGATCCAAAAAACTATGATCACGACCCACCCAGAAAAAATCCTGGATACACCCCTAGGTAATTAATTGGAGAATTATCAATCTACAGGGTGGCCCAATAAAAGTGTTCCAGTATTACAACTGGGTACCAGGTTCTGTAATGATAGTTCCTACTTCGAACCAGGTCCCCAGTGTCTTACTTTTATTGGGCAATTCTGTGGAGGGGATGAAGTTTCATCCGCACCTTTTTGGATGAAGATCTATTCATTTCAATATTTCGCACAAAATCACCTCTTTTTTAAACATACACATGTAATTATTTGTATTATTCACACGATTTTACAAGCACATGTAATGAAATATTAGTGATTTGACAGACGTCTCTCTCTGTTGCAGAAATAAGGTTCGTGAAAACTCACAGAATATTGATCAATGAATTACATGGAGTAAAAAGATAATGATAATTATATATAGAGCATCAAATCTAGCTCTGAATTGATGATGTGATAAAAATTGACTTTCATACTGCTAGCTTTCATGGTCTAAAAACTTATTCACGGACACCGTTTTGTCGTACTCTTGAATTGACATTGGCCTAAGCACACTGCGCATTTGCAACGCTGCTCGGAATAAAAGCAGTGGGGGTGTCTTTGACACGAGTGCCTTACAAATATGTGACTGGCTCTGGCAAAATCAGGCATAATGCACCAAAAATAAAAATTAAGTTAGACCTATTATAATATTTTGATTATCCTTTCCATAAGCTTCAAAATGATGTATGGATTGTTTCTATATATAGCTAAACAAAACTGGCGATTTTATGACCATCGGAAGTTTCCAATCGTAATGCATTTTCTATTACATCCTATAGTTTTAAAGTGCATGATCTTTAAACGTTGATGTGCCTGGTTTTGCCAGATCCAGTCGCATATGCTACCGATGCATATTCTAATAGACAACCTCTTTTCTGTACATAAGTAGGCCTACTCGCTATGGCCGAAAATGTCATACACTTCTAAGACTGATTCTATATACCCTAAACGAAACACCGTATATTTCCCATTCAACACATGGCTTCCGACCGACCATAATATTTACTACTGGAATTGAATTTTAAGAAATTATTTTCGAAAAGACCCGACGATTAAACTGTTAGTGACACTTCGCGGTAAATAACAACACAATGTATAGCCTGTTAAATCATGCTTGTAAAAGCTAGTCTAGGTTTGGCAAGGTGCCTTCTTTGCTCGGGTTCATCGTCAGTGCCAACAGACGTAGAATTTTCTGATCCGAAAGAGAAAATAATAATAAAAAAAAGGGATAAAAAAAAAGCCTCCCTTCCTACCATACGCACGCATATTGGGGCCAATAGCGCAAAACCTGTAGCATGATGAAAAAATCTCGAAAAAAATATCTCTGTTGATGAAATATTTTGCAATATATCGCTGTCGACTGTTTGTAGTATTTGAATAGCCAAAAGTTGCTATATCATAGGATAAAATGTACACAAAAATGTACTGCAGAATTATGGACTGAAATCAAACACGGTTCGGGCGGGACATTGGTACGTTTGATAGTGCATGGAGGTATAAAAGTATAGTGTTACCTCTAAATGGAACTTGGTTTCCTGATTTCCTTTTCCGAAAGGTCTCAGAAGACCCTATTACTCTATTACTAAGGGCATAGCACTTCCTCATTGCAACCTTCATAATTGAGAAAAAGCGTTTCGGGTAGGACATGATTTGGTCAGACAACAGACAGATCTCTGTGTATGATTAGATGTGGGGAACTATACAGATCCTTACATATCAAATTGTTGTTTAAAGAAAACTATTCAGGTCATTATATAACAAGTTGTGATAGCGATAGGAAAGCCTCAAATCGTCATAACGAGTTAGCCTATTGTGCGGAACATGTGATGGTACAAAGTAACACATTTTGCGCTTTTGGAACTATGATAATCTTGCATGTAGGCCAAAGAATTCCAGCTCGGTATCAGCGGTATCCACTACACGATTACATTCGTTTCTACCTGGCAAAGAAGGATGATATATTCATTCCATTAATATAAGCATGATATAAGTAGATCGCGTTTACTGTAATTGACCAATGAGAACATTTGGCGTTCTGTCAAGTCAGTGCAACTAGGGATTTTCATGAAACAAAAATTTTCATTCGCCGAGAGGACGATGACGTCACGAGAAAGTAAGTTTGGTATTGAGCGTAAGGTATTTTATAACCGGACTACTGCCCTATTCTCAAGTTGTGCTGATCCTTTGTGGAACATAAATTTTGACAGTAGGCAGGGCCGCTGAGTGCGGCCTTAGACCCCGGAGCAACTTTGTTGCCCCGGCCCATTAGTTGAGAGTCTGGGTATTAGTTAAGAGTCTGTGTATTATGTTAGCTACCTTGTTCTAGATTCGCAGTCGCACCCTCGGCGCCCTATACACCATGACAGAAATGCATAACAAAACTAGCGCGACCGAAATGATCGGATACCGAAAATATTCGCTTTTAATGTCTTGTGTGTGTGGAAGTTGCCCGCTTGCTGTTCGAACACTATTGCAGGTCGAGATCCATGGCTAAATGGAAAAAAAGGATTAGCCTTTATCTGGTGGATATACTATGGCGATATTCTCTGGAAGTCAATTGGCATACCAACTATAACTTTCGCAAGTAACATATGGTTCTGTGACAATAAGACTTCCATGCAAAAAATTGAAAATATTCAATACCAAATGGCTAGATTCTTATTAAATGCATCCAGATATGTTGCAAAGGAAGCTCTCTGTGGTGAACTAGGGTGGCAAACAATAGAATCCATACAGACGGAAAGAATATTAACATATTTTCACAGACTTCAAAATATGGAAGAGCATCGTTGAAGAGCACGTTTACTATTTAGAGCTCTCTTTGCACTAAAAAACAAAAGTATTTATTAGAAAGGGACAGCTACCATGCATCAAACCTAAAATTTAAAGCCCGAACTAATTCATTGCCTCTTGAAGGGAGAAAACAATCATGGTCTCCACAAAACTTAGGCCAATGTTTATTATGTAATTCCAATGATAAAGAAACAATAGATCATTTTATTTTTAAGTGTAATAGATTACAATTTATTAGAGAACCTATTTTTAAAAAACTACAAGAAGAACTATGCCACAATGACCTAAATCTAGTTTGTAGCTTATTTATTTCGGGTTCTTCTGAACTAAAGTATCACCTTTTTCTAGATGATCTTGAAATTCATTATGAACACCAAATTATAACAAACCCAATTTTAACTTCTTTTAATTATGAAATGGCAGGAAAAATCTTTACCAAATATTGTAATTTTTTTTAACTAAAGCATGGGAAGAACGTAACAAAATCTATAATACTTTTTCATAAATAAATTTGTTGGAAAGAAAAGAAAAGATGGAAAAAAGAGAGAAGGGGATGAAGAGGGAGAGAAAAAAAAGAAGGAAAAGGGAAAGAAGAGATGATGAGAAGAAGAAGAAGAAGAAGAAGAAGAAGAAAAGAAGTTGTGGAAGTAAGGAAGAAAAAAAATGTAAAGAGAGAGAGGATGAGGAGGGAGTGGAGAGGAGAAAAGAAAAAAAAGAGAGAGGAAAAGGAAAGAAAATGGGAAGGGAAGGGAAGGGAAAGGGGAAAAAATTATTATTATCATTTATTTTTTTTCTTTTCTTTTCCTATAAGTTTCTTATATGTTTTTTTTCAGTTTATTCAGATAAAATGTAATGCATTCTCCGGGAGATGGAGTGCGCGCCGTCGGGTTTCGGCATTGGTCACGCATTGTCATGAATTCCTGGCAATGGCGTGAATGGTGTCGAGAGCAGTGGTGTGTTTTGTAGTTCATTTCCTGGGATGCGTACTTTTCTTTTCGTTATTAGTTTTGTAAAAAAAAAAAAAAGTACTGTATTTTTTTAGACGGTGTATTAGGATAGTAAGAAATGTCTATTGCTAGACAAAATTAATGTACATATGTTTTTTTTTTCTTTAAATCTTATATTGTGAATTATTGTTGCACATTTCTATTGTGCCTCTGTTACAAAAGAGAAACAATAAAGTTATTATTATTATTATCTCTTAGATTTTCACACCTAAACATAAGCAATCCTTGACTGATGCACATATATTTTTTAATGTTATATGCCATAAATTATATAGTAGGCTACGAATAATGATTTATTTCGTGATTTTGAACATTTTCACGCTTTTCCCGTTAAAATTGGCCTAGTACTTACGAAGATATGATATTAATCATTGTTTTTGTAAGGTTTTGGTCATAGGAGTGATGTTTTGCCCTACCTGACGTGATATCGCACCGAATACTCAGTACGTCCCCAAATACTAGCGAAGAAATTTTTTCGCTAGTATTTGGGGACATACTAAGTATTCGGTACGATATCACGTCAGGTAGGGCAAAACATCACTCCTATGATTATTTCCTGACGCAAACTTCATATCTTTATAGCACTTGCAGTACCCGCTGCTACTAGGGGATCGGATTCATCACTCGTCACCAAGCGCAAGTTCGGTGGTCTAGTGGTTAAAACATCAGGCTAGATACCTGGAGGTCGTGGGTTCGATTCCCACCCGAATCACTTGCAAATTTTTTCGCTAGTATTTGGGGACGTACCGGTACTGAGTATTCGATACGATATCACGTCAGGTAGGGCAAAACTCCTATGATTATTTCCTGAAGCAAACTTCATATCTTTAAGGTTTTGGTCAGCTATTTAATATAATACCCTACACCCCTCTGCTGATAACCATTCAAGCAAGGCCTTACTTATCAGCTCGACAGAGAAACGTGGTACGAAATGAATAGAAACGCGTTCATGAAGTGGGGCGATAAGTCTACGCCTATGTATTTTTACACAGTTTTGAAGAAGATGGAATTGTTTAATCATGGACCTATTATAGGTTCATGGTTCGAGTCACTCGGAAGTATAGCAGTTAGTGAGGATTCAAATTCATGAATCAGTTCGTTAGTATTTATTTGAGTTACTTCTCTGTGATCGAGCTTCGATAGTTGTGACATTTTTGTATTGAGTACACAAGCATAAGCGCCCTCCATAGTTAAACATGAATTGTCGCTATCCATTGTGATTGCCTATTATTCATCAATTAGTTCAATTTCTGTTGTACTATATAGCTTTTAATATATAGTACTATGTAAGCAGGGATTTGCAACAAGGTCTTGGACTAGGCCTCTATACTATAGTAGGAGGCCTGGTCCTAGTCTAGGTCTATAATATAGTAAAATTCTGTATAGGTAGTCATTATGATTACAGGTTTACATTGTTCCAAGATCAATATTAACGTATTTATTTTTCATTGAAAATAATTTAAAAAAAAAAACTTTTAAAAATATTAACTTAAGGATATTAAAATTTAAAAAAAAAAATACACTTCAACAAAAAAAAATTAAGTTAACTTAAAACACAAACAAGAATAATTGGTATACTTGTACTGTATTTTCTGAAGCGCCGTTCGTTTTTGGGGTTGCTACAATTAGCAGTTGTTACATCAGTGGCGTCACGCTGAGGAGGGGGTGGGAGGAACGCCAGGGCCTTAAGCGCGCCCCCCCCCCCGACATTGTTTAAACAAATAATATAAAATATAATACTGTAGTTTCATTCAATGGGGCCCCCGACAGTTTTAAACAATAAAAGCTGGGTTCTGATGTTTGAGATCATGCTTCTGATTTTGTGATCAATCTGCTTTGCAGATTGATATTCAATCTCCAGCAAATTTTAAATAGCATCCAAAATCCTCCTTTTTGAAATGTACGGAAATAGATAGTGCTTTTCCTTCGTTGGATCACTCGTAACTCCTGATTGTAGCAACCCCAAAAACGAACTTTATATCCTATCGTGTTGTTTGTGTTTTAAGTTAACTTTATTTTTTTTATTTTATTTTTTTAAATTTTTTTTAAGCGTACAGGTTTGGAATATTTTAAAATCATGAAGTTAAATTATTTAAAGTTTTCTTTTTATTTTCAATGAAAAATAAATGCGATCGTTAATATCGATCTTGGTACAATGTAAACCTGTAATCATATTTCATTTCATTTCATTCATTTCATTTATTTATTCGACCAATACACATTTACAAAAGGTACAGTACAACAAAAATTATGGTCAGGGGCAGCTTAAGCAAATTTTACTAACTCATTGAGAGTCAGCTGCCCCATTAATAAATATAAACATAAAAGGCATTTAAATACAATACAATAAATAGCAGAAATAGGCCTATCATAATTTTTAAAAACAAAAAAAAAACAAAAAAAACAAATAAAACAAACAGAGTTTTACTATATTATAGGCCTAGACTAGAACCAGGCCTCCTACTATAGTATAGAGGCATAGTCCAAGACCTTGTTGCAAATCCCAACCCACGTAAGCCTGGCCTATAATGCCTAGCATAGGGCTCGTGATCGCTGTACCCTGACCATTAAAAATTAGCAGACGCACTGGGAAGCGTTGTTCACGGAATTGGACTGCAGTGAAAAATGATTCCCCCATCATTAATGGAACAGGCAACGTCATGCTTGGCTGATTAGTTTTGATTTACATTTCGCAAATCCAGTGCCATACGCAGCAAAAGTCAATTTCTAGTGTTGTTGTCAGATGCATTTCAAACCAGGCTGGTTTTTTTTTTACGTTTTGGAATAGAATTTGGAGAGGCGTTTGATCAATTCAGACCTACGTTTTGAATTTGAATTACATTTTAAAGAAATTAGAACTACATTTTGGAAAATTTGAACTAAGTTTTCAAAAATTAGAACTTCATTAAGGGAAACTAGATCTACATTTTGAGAAATTTTTGATAAAACAGACATTGAATTTTGCAATTAACTTGCATGGACTTTTGCTGCGTATGACACCCCATAATAGGCCACATTTACGGCATGATGACACAGTCAAAACCTATGAAAGTACTAGTCATAGGGGATTTTATGTACGATAAATATCACTATGGAAAAACTACGAAAATTAGTTGCGAGGCGTCTCTGCCGGTTTTCGAAAAGGAGCACTTGGATATCCGGTTGGGAGGCGCAGGAAATGTGGCCCTAACTTGTCACCATCATGCTGAAGTTACCCTCGTCACTGCTTTTCTGGAAAACGAGTGTCCAGCAGTTCCGTTCAAACTTGTGAATCTTCCTGGGAAAACGGTGACAACGGTGAAAGAAAGGTTCATCATAGGAGAAAGGCACGTTTTTCGCAGTGATCAGGAGAAATATGAACCGATTAACATTGATGATGTGAACACAGCCAGGTATGATGTCATTTTGATCTCAGATTATAACAAAGGTATGATTCATTCGCCGCAGAAACTGATCAGGAATGCCAAGTGCCCGGTGTTGGTGGACCCAAAAGGGGACGATTGGTCAAAATATGCGGGAGCATACTGCCTGAAGCCGAACCTCAAAGAGTTCGAGAAAGTCTGCGGAAGATTCACAGTTAAAAACGCGAGAAAAGCTTTAAAAACGTACAAAATTGAGGCAATCCTTGTAACATTGGGTCAAAATGGTTTTACGTGGGTGACGCTTGATAATAAAATTCATATCGGACCTACTGCGAAGAAGGTTGTCGATGTCACAGGTGCGGGCGACACATTCATATCCATATTCGCGTGCTACTTTAACGAAGCTGATGTCGGGGACACGGTAAAAATTGCGAATACGGCAGCAGGCATCGCCGTGGAACACTTCGGGACTTACGTAGTGACTAAACGAGATATTTGGGGTCAAATCCAGCATGATGGGTTAACAGGCACAACAAATGAAGTGCAGCCCGTGATTCCGTACAACCATAGCAATGGGACTACGTACGATATACCCTCAGTACATAAGGTTACCCCAATGCAGAAATGTCAAGAAAAGGTTAGCCCTGAGGAGCAAGAACAGTCATGTAGAAGAGGTCAAGCCACGAAGGAGATGTCATATGGATCTGGGAGGGAGTCTACTAATGGCGTAGAACCCATGACAAACACATCTGATCAATCCATAATGACTCATCAAAGTAAGAAGAAAGAGGTGGTTGTATTCACCAATGGATGTTTTGATATCGTTCATGTCGCCCATGTCAATCTTCTACAGAAGGCAAAAAGGTGAGCGGTCAAGGTTTTTCCAAATTTTTTTACCCTGCTGCTCTCGTGGGAGACTTGAAATTTCATTCATTCGTCCATCCCTGTGGCTCTCGAAGTTAGGCGAAGATCTATTCGTGTCTCTGTGGGTAACATGGGTGTATGCAAGGGGGTAGGGGGAGTCAGGAAGGTCGTACGACCCCCCACCCCAAAAGATTTTTTTTCGTCAGTCTGTTTGTCAATTTGTCAGTAATTTCTATTTTTTTCTTTTTTAAAGGTGGGGGGTGCGGGGATGAGACAAGTGGCCATATATTGCTTATTTAACCTTTCCTGAGTTCGGGAAAAATAATTAAAAAATTCAAAATGTTGAGATGTAAGGATAATTACAGAAACAAAACATGATATGATGAGACAGGATAATCAGCTGAAAAGGAGGCTGATCCCTTTTTTCAGTAGCTTGGTAGCATTTTCTAACCAACTCATTAATATTCAAGACAAGTCTGTCAATTAATTTTTGGCGAGCAGCTGATCGAAAAATCGTCCCGACGATCGAGCGACTAGCCTAGATACAGTACAGTACCTATCTATTTAACATTCAGCATAATAATTACCTATATACATATAGTCTACATGAAAAATATTTGGTTCATTTCTGTTGTGTTTTTTGTAAACTGATGATGGGTTGAAGGTAACCCGAAACATGTCTTCTATTAAATCTTTTGTGTTATTTTTAAAATGCGTTGTATTTTTTGTCAACTTACGTCCACTAGATGTGTATAAGAGACAGGCTGTGAATGTACCATATATTTTTTCAATGAACTGATCTGAATTCTATCCTATTTATTTCAGTCTGGGCGATCGGCTCATTGTAGGGTTGAACAGTGATGCCAGCGTCACGCGGATAAAACGAAAGCCAATCAACAACCAGGAAAGGAGAAAAATGTTGCTGGAGGCTTTCTCTTGTGTTGACGAAGTTATCATCTTCGACGAGGATTCGCCACGGAATCTCATACTGAAGCTCAAGCCAGACATCCTCGTAAAGGGAGGGGACTACGAGTTAGAAGATTTGAGAAGTAGGCATCTGGTGAAAAAGGCGGTGATTATTCCAAGTTACTGCGAGGTCACGACATCAAGGATCATGAAGGAATGTCAAAAGCGTCTGATCGAATCTGACTGCAAGAAGAAAGTACTACCAGAAGCATACACCGAGGCATTAGGGAGTACGGACTGGACATGTACGCCAAGCAAAGATGCAGAGACATGCTTAGTCTGTGACCAGACAGACCGCACAAGTCAGCAAATAGTACAAAAGAAGTGGGGTTTTGAGAATATTTTCGTTTCTAATGCTTCTTATGCGGGAAAATTTCTGCATTTTGATATTGCAGGTAGTAAATTCTCGATGCATTTTCATGCTATGAAAACAGAAACTTGGTACGTCTTGAGAGGTTCCTTTCATTTGGTCCTTATAAACACTGCAGATGCATCAAGGAGGGTAAAGAGGTTGTTTCCAGGTGATGTCTGGAATATAAAACCATTAGAACCCCACCAGCTGATGGCTATGGAGGACCATTCAGTTGTTGTAGAAGTTTCCACTGCTGATCTTAAAGACGATAACTACAGAGTAGAAGCTGGTGATAGCCAAATGTAGGCTTCAGTTGATGCTGATGGTCATGCAGTACCATTCTTTTGTTGTAGTAGCTTCTAAAAAGAGGAGAACTCGTGGGAGGAGAATTACCTTGGTCTCTCAGAACATGTCATTATATTTGGAGGTCTTTGTATGAAATCATCACATATTTAATCGGGTCAAACTTCAGCAGCAGATCTTGCCTGTACAGGCAAGATCGATCTACTGCTGAAGATAGACATATGTGATGATTTTATGCATAAAGCTCAAAATCGAAAATGTCAGATAGTTCAAGATACCTGTCGGCCCACGAACTATAAGGAAAACTATGTGATAACCAAACGTAGGCTTCATTGTTGACAACGACCATTCAAGTTTTGTAAAGAAGCTTAACGAAGACAACTCTATAGTAGAAGTTGTTGACCATGACCATTTAGTCGTTGTAGAGTAAAAGATGCCCACAGCCTGCTGTTGGCTCCGGTCTTCGTTAACTCAACAGAAGTAAAAGTCATATAAGATGTTCTGATTCAACATGTTTAATATTATTAACCTCATCATGTTTAGTCAAAACCTAGTGTAGCTGGTCATATAACACCATTTATTTGCATCATCCCCTTCACTTTAAAGGTATTTTTAATGGAATTTTAGCCTAGCATATTCAGTATTACATTCAAAGAGGTTTTCAGGAGAATTCAACATGGCGTTAGATATATATATGTATCATTTAATTATTTATTACATTTATTTCGCTATTTACCTTAATTGATATTTTTGCACAGATATATATGGGTATTATTTAAGCGTTTCATAATTAAACACTCTAAATACAAGCGAATCGTAGATTTATCTCTCTGATTGTACTCTTTGCCCCTTTTCCCACCCATAGTGGTGCACATGATAGGCAAAAATACATTTTTTTAAATCGATATCATTATTGCTTGATGGTGGATTTGTCAAATAAGGTATACTAAAATATTTGCTTTGTCAGTTTAATTTGATTGAAACTTATTATAAAAATAAATCGATATCATTATTGCTTGATGGTGGATTTGTCAAATAAGGTATACTAAAATATTTGCTTTGTCAGTTTAATGTGAATGAAACTTATAATAAAAAAAAGTCGGAGTATACCATCTTGGCCTCATGGTCTGTTGGTTTGAATCTCTTTGTGGAGAATGTCTTTATCAAACTAACACATAACATATTGACAACTGATGATAGATATTGCATATATAAAAAATTATACTGTAGAAGTACAATAGATATTATACACGTTATACTGACTACTGTATACTGTAATGCACTGTATTGAAATATGAATGTTTATACTACAAAAAAAATGAATATATTATATACAGTGTCTACTAACACACATGCCGTCAAACCAATTTTTTATATATGTTTATTCCAACCACTAAACGTTTGTTTTTGATGAATAGAATAAAGTTATATAAACAATATTCAACTGTGAAAGCATATATGCAATGGCACAACAGTTATCACTGCTTATTTTACAAGCAGCGATACAATATACATAGAACGTTTCTTTAATTCAAAGGTTGTGATAAAAAATGCTGAATTTTTTTTACTGTTATTGCATTAAAGGAACAAAAATTCTAAAAAAGAAATGGCACCTCTATTTATTAATACTTTTTATTAAGTTAGTGGGCTATGTTCAAACACATTAGGTTACACTAGCGTGAAGCCGGTCTCGCTTGTTGTGATTTTGCCTACGATAGCTGCGATGACACACAATTTGTCAAAACTCTAAATCGTGTTGTAAACATAAAACCTCTCACACCTTGCCCCAACTGCCGCGCACCACCAGACGATTTCAGACTGAGTGTGTCCTAATTTTTAATAAAGAATCGCAACGTGTGAGACCGACTTTACGTTGTGCAGCGTGGTGTGCACCAGTTTGTTTTTAGGTAATAAATGCAACGATTACGGCATAAGTGTTCAGAAAAGTAAATTGTTTTGATCTGTGTCATCAGAATTTAAATAGAAAAGTCATTAACAAATCCTTGCCAAAAGTGCATAATAAAACTCTTCAATTTTGTACAATTGGGTATTTACACATTTCCTTTCATTTTTTCCTCTAATGTTGTCACACTTCATCACTCTGCTTTTTTCTCGCATTTGTTTCATTTGTTCTCGAATCCTCTTTCCGATATTTCTTTGTAGTAAACAAATCAACCAAGTTAGAAAAGGGAAGCTCAACGGCTATGAATAGGCCTTTATATACATAGCAACAGTAAATGCTAAGTAATAGAAAATTTGCAAAAAAAACAAAAAAAAACAAACAATGGGAATCAAAAATTGTGATTAAAATGTACATAAACCACTGAAATTTGAAAACCATGTATCGAACTCGCGCGAATAAGCGCCCGGGCGCTTAAAATATTTTTTTTTGCACTTTCTGAGGGGCGCTTATTAAAACGGGGCGCTTGATTAAACGGGGCGCTTATGAAAACAGAGTGGAAATTTAGGGGGCACTTATGAAAATAGATGAAGGAGTAGGGCTAGGCATAGACAAATATGTAAAAAGAATAAAGTTGGAAATATACTGTCTGTCCAGGGATCGGAGCTTTCATCTGTCCAAGAGAAATATCCTCATTTTGATATTGACCGAAGAAGAATGCATTTCCACTCTATGAGCTCAAATCACGCCAACAACCACAGTCCCAGGATTGATTGGATTATTGACTTGCTAAAAAGAAAATCTTTCGAGGGGGCGCTTATTCAAACGGGGCGCTTAAGGAAATTTTCACGTTAGGAAGGGCGCTTATTCAAACGGGGCGCTTATTCGCGCGAGTACGGTATGTGGATTTAGTTCACAAGAACATGGGTTCAAAGCAACTGTTTGTTTGAGTGCTCAAACAGAAGAACAGATGAAGGAATGGATGACTGAATTTCACGAGAGGTCATTAACTACTCTTCGATTAGCAAGGTCTTACCTAATTGTGGAACAAAATTGGTATTTAAGGTAGGCATAGTTCAGTAATAACAAAACATGAACGATGTACAATATGATTATACACATTTATTTTTTTTAATTAATTTTGTAGGATTTAATACCTCTTTCATTCATTGCCTTTTTCACTTTTGTTTTTCTTCCTAAAATATTAATAGCAACTTGAAACTGCTAACAGGGTTTAGTCCACCATAGCTGACTTGTTTTTAGTGTAATACAATTTTATTTTATTGTAGTAATTTTTATGTATAATATTGTTATCGCCAAATGGGTATCACCAAATTTATTTCAATTAATTTTATTATAATATATTACTTTAAATTTTAATTTATAAAAACCAAAATGATTTTACTGTATTAACATTTTTTACTAATGCTTCATAAAATAATAAATTCAACAACAACAATTGAACTTACCTTTAGTTTGGTTCAAAAAATGTTTATTGAGGAAACTCTTTAAGTAGCAATGGGAATGGAATGAGAGGTGCCGAGGGGAGGGGTCATTTTGGGAAGGGTTCCCCTCCAACCTGCATCCCTATCCCTTATACACATCTAAGGAATGTCAAAAGCGTCTGATCGAATCTGACTGCAAGAAGAAAGTACTACCAGAAGCATACACCGAGGCATTAGGGAGTACGGACTGGACATGTACGCCAAGCAAAGATGCAGAGACATGCTTAGTCTGTGACCAGACAGACCACACAAGTCAGCAAATAGTACAAAAGAAGTGGGGTTTTGAGAATATTTTCGTTTCTAATGCTTCTTATGCGGGAAAATTTCTGCATTTTGATATTGCAGGTAGTAAATTCTCGATGCATTTTCATGCTGTGAAAACAGAAACTTGGTACGTCTTGAGAGGTTCCTTTCATTTGGTCCTTATAAACACTGCAGATGCATCAAGGAGGGTAAAGAGGTTGTTTCCAGGTGATGTGTGGAATATAAAACCATTAGAACCCCACCAGCTGATGGCTATGGAGGACCATTCAGTTGTTGTAGAAGTTTCCACTGCTGATCTTAAAGACGATAACTACAGAGATATTTTACAAGGGGGGATGGTCCATTGTATCATCCCCCCAATATTTTGATTATGTACGGTATGGCATAAAATGGAGCTTTACACACTTCAAAAGACTGTCACAGAAATAATTTTCACTGTCTTATGCACTTACAAAGATGAAAATTAGCATAATGTATTAATGTTGATAACAAAATTATTTTATCTGGTACCAATCTAAGCTCTTCTTTCCTTAAATGTTAGATGTGCTTGCAAAGAGAGCCACATTCCACACTGAAGGGTGTGTACGACATCAGTAATGTTATGTCAGTTCCAAGAATGTTTAAGGTTATATCGGTTGATGAGGAATTTATTGATTAGGCCTATAATAGCAAATTGCTTCAATTTATTTTGCAAAAACAAGGTTTCCAGCTTCAGAGGGGGGGGGGGGAACACATCCCCTGCCCGCACAAGGGCACACATTGGCGCTAACACCAGGCGCGTAACAGGGGTCTTGGGTCAGAGTGGGTATTTATTTTCCCGGTTAGTAATTTACCATACTCACCCCACCCAACTCCCCATATAGAAAACAATAAGACATAGGGCTTATCTTATTTATAATATAGGCCACACACGTGTGTTTGAAACTAAATATAAGCATTTTCATCATGGTTTTATTTATTACAACATATTCTTGCACCATCAATACACATTACACATTGATATTATTTCACTGTTTTTTAAATCTATTGTGCAAAGTATTATGACTTTTTGTATGGTTTGTTTCTACAACTCTTTTAGAGAGATTGATAAGAAACTGTTTTATAGAATCACTAAACAAGCTATTAAGATTACAGGCCAACAAGTTTCATCACCTGATGTTATTTATAAAGAAAAAATGTCTCTAAAGCCCGAAGTGTTCTAAAAGATGAAATTTGTCTTTCTTGAGTTTTGGGACTATTATGTGTTTAAATAACTTAAAAGGATAAACCTAAAAAACCCTAAAATATGCGTGCGAAGCGTGCAAAATATTTTTGTGTTTTAAATTCTAATTTCGTCGGAATTGATGAAAACTCCCTAAAATGTGCAATTTATAGAGGAAATTGGCCTACCGTAACAAAAAATGCGCGCAAGGAATTTGAGAATTTTAGCACTTTCAGAGGATGCATTTGTCAAGGGGTGGGGAAAGATTTTCCAAAGATGGATATTTTCCCCTTGTCCCCCGGTGTTTTTAATTCTAATTTCGTTAGAATTGATCAAAACTCCCTAAAATGTGCAATTTTTAGAGGAAATTGGCCCATGATTACAAGAAACGCGCGCGAAATTTGAGGTTTTTAAGATGAAAAAGGCATTTATAAAGGGGTGGGGAAGATTTTTCAAAGATAGATATTTTCCCCTTGTCCCCCAGTGGTTACGCCATCGGGCAGCATAGATCAAAGGAGTTATGACATTTTTTGAAGTGTGAGTGAAGAGAGAAGGGGTTGCAGGGTGTTGTGAGTCTGGTCATTATGATATC